AGAAAGTCATGGGTTGAGGCACCTGGCTGGCTCAGTTGGTAAAGCATGCGACTCTTGATCTAGGGATTGTAAATTTGAGCCCCATGTTGGGTGTAGAGATTACTTTAAAAATAAAAAATCTTAAAAAAAAAAAAAAGAACTTTGTGGGTTAATAGTTCATTATATCTATGAACCAGATATGAATTAAGTGTAGGGAGGGGATTGGAAATAAGAGGTATGGAATTCTAATTCCAGTTCTACTGCTGACTGGTTGTATAACCAAAATTAAAGTTCTTTACCTTGTTAAGCTTCAGTTTGCCTATTATAAAATGTGTGGCATTTTTACAGCACCGGTAATTATAAAATACTGTTTGTTTACTGGTATTGATAACTGAAGAAACATATAAACAAAGCTAATTGAGTCTTAAATTATATTAAGAACCACCACACCCCCGCCCACCCCCGTTCAGTTCTGGATACTTTAAGAGATTTTGATACTATATGATTCATTAAGAAATAGGAGAAGAAAAAATTTACAGTTGGGAACCCCATTTACCTTTAAATCTCTGAATGGTTGATCTATGAACTAGGTTAGATTATACATTTATTTTTTGCCCATGAGCACATAACTCAGGGCAGCGGGGAAAGCTTCAGGTTAACAGATTTTGGCTTAGTGTAAGAAAAAGCTTCTGAATCATTAAAACTGTCTAAAATGAAATGAATGGAATGAAGTATCTTATTGAGTCACTAAAGATGTGCAAGTAGAGTGTGGAGCAACCCCTTGTTTTGGGATATCCTAGAGGGAATTCATGCCTTGGGTAAAGGTCTGCTCAAGGCAATTTCTAAGGTAGTTTCTAACTCTAAGATTCCACGTTTCTGTAATGTGGGGATAGTGATACCTCTCAGTTACTGTGATGAATAAGTAAGGCCATCCATGTAAAAAGTTCTTGAATGTTACATGGGACACAATTAGTACTTACTAAATGTTCTTTGTGGTATCTATAAGAATAATCCTTGTCCTGGCCTGGTACAGGTGAGATAATGAGTATAAACATGCTTTAAGTATCCTTCAAGTTCTTTACAAGAATAGGAGATGCAGAAATCTATATCTGACATCTGGCAGGGCACCATTGGGACATTTTGCTTCAGTTTATTCGTTTACAAAGGGGTTGACTTTTTAACTTTTTTTCCCCAAGTAGGGAAGGGCCTGTGTTACCTGCATATAGTATAGATAGATTTGCCTTGCTGTGGCCACAGCATGTGGTGATTAGGTTCATAGACTTTGGGGGTTCCAGCCCAGCTCCCATACTTACTAGCTGGTGACTGCTGGAAAGTGATATCACCTCATAATCTTCAGTTTCCTCTTCTGTAAAATAAGGGTACCTTATTTTTTATGATTCACCACAATAACATGTTAGGTGCTTGGCACAGAACCTGGTACCCAAGTGGTCAGTTAGCAATAGCTTCTCCTGTTTTTATGATCCTTTCCCACATGTTATGAGGGAAGTTTGTAAAGTGCTTCTTTGAGGGGCTTCACAGTTGATTGGGAGAGGGCCTTTCTCCTGTACTTTTGAGAGACTTCCTTCTGAATTAGTTCCTGGTCTGTGGCATAAGCCAGTGCTCCTTATAGAAACAGAAAATGGCAGTAAGAATAGCTATGAAAGAGAAGCAGTCACAGGACTCAAAGGAAATCCAATCTGTGCCCATTGGTGGAGAAATAGTCCCACCTCGTCTTTGATCTCATCGTGGCCTTTTAAGTGCTCATGAAAAGAACAAGCAGTGTTACAAGACATAAGCAGATTCTTAATAGTTCTGTATTTGATTGTTGTTCAGTGGGTCCTTTGCCCTGGATCCAGATGCTGCACAGAATGCCATACAAATGCTTTCTGAAGAGGTTACTAAACTCCAGTTCTGATATTGGCAGATTAGGGTCAGCCACTTCCTTAAATGGACAAGTTCCTTAACTTTTTTTGAGATCTCCATTTTCTCAATTACAAAAATCTAATAGCAGTCATATCTACCTTTGGGATTATGAGAATTATGTGACACAACACAAAACACGGTATTTAGTTATGGTCTGTACTCAGTAAAGTCATAACTCTGAAGAAAGGGAGAAAGAGGTGGTGTGGTTCTTCTAGATATGATTAATTATAACTATTTTTAAGTCTATTCTAGTAGACTTCTGGTTTATATTTTAATGTGTGTATATATATATATATGATATGTATCCTATATATGGTAGAATGTGAGATACATATATCTATAAATATATAGAAAGGTTATATATAATATTGAAGGTTTGAATTTAAAATGAGAAAATTTAAATTCTCTGTATCCAATCTAGATTTTTTCACAGCATTCCATGTTCGTTCTATTTCTAAGCCCAATCAGCAACTCAAGCCCAGCACTCCAGGAAATCACATCCCACACATAGTACTATTGTTATGTCATTCATTTTGCCTGTTTGGCCTTTCCTGTTTTAGTTTTTTAATTCTCTATTGTAACTTTGCTCTAATGTTTACCTTGAGCTTCCTTTGCATTTTTATTTATTTATTTATTTGTCCTTTGCATTTTTAAAAGGAAAAGAAAAAGAATGGTTATTACACCAGGGCCATTTTTATATTTTAACCAAATTTCTTTTAGTTGCAAATAACAAAAACTCATTTAAGTTAGTTCGAGAAAGAAAAAAGAAAAGAAGGTATTGTATTACAAGACATGGGAATGTCAGTTTGTCATGGTATGTCAATTTGCCCATAGTTAGGAAGTTCATCCAAGCCTTAGAAAGTCTTGGAAAGGTCTGTACCTAGGAAATACAGAGTCCTCAAGAACCTCGATGATTCCTCTTTCCATATCTATCTTTCTCTGTTTCCCTAGCTGTGTGGTCTCCTGTATCTGCTTCTCTCTGCATAACTGCTATTTGCTGTGTGACTTTGGGCAAGAGCCTTAATATATATGTCTGTTGCCCTGTATGAAAAAAATATTATGTATTAGTTTCCTGTGCTGCTGTTAAAAATTACCACAAACTTGTTCTCTCACAGTTCTGGAACCAGAAGTTCAAAAGTCATGTGAAAATAAGGTGGGCAGAGCCACACTTCCTCCAGAGGCTCTAGGGGAGAATTCATTCCTTGCCTCATCCAGTTTGTAGTGGAAGCCACTCCTTGGCTTCGGCTACCTTCTGCCTGTTTTCACATCGCCTTCTCCTTTGTGTGTACATGTGTGTGCACATGCATGCGTGTTCTCCTCTTCTGTTTATATCAAATCTCCTTCTGTCTTTCTCTTTTTAAAAAAAAAGACGTGTGATTGCAAGTAGGGCTCACCTTTATAATCCAGAATAATCTCCCAATCCAAGATCCTTAATCACATCTGCAAAGATCCCTCTTCCTTACAAGATAACATTTACAGGTTTCAGGGATCAGGACCTGATATATTTGGGTGGCCATTATCCAGCCTACTACAAATAGGGATCATAAAGACATCTCCAATTTGGCGTATAATAAAGGTTGCCTAAATGCTAGTCTCCTGCCTCCTCTACGTCTCTCCTGTGTACTGCCAGTCTCTTCCTGTCACATTGCTTTCAAATGCTTTTCTTTTCAGGAATGTTATCACATTAAGCGTGGACCTGTTAGGATAATAATGATAATGAAAATAATAGCTGTCATTTATTAAATGTCCATTGTAGCCCAAGCATTGTGCTGAGTACTTTATTTATGTATGTAGGTACTGTTATAATCCCCATTTTACTGATGAGAGAAACTAGGTTCAGAGAGGTGAAGTGACTTAATTTGCCCTAGTTCAGTGAGCTGGTAAGTGTCAGAACTGGGATTTAAATAAGGATCTCTCAAACTCTTTGGGGTATGTTCTCAATCATTATATCTTGCCTGTTAGGAGTGTGGTTCAAATCTCTGGTTTCTTGCCTTGGCCTCTGATCAAAACCTTTTCTTGGAGGTTTCTTGTACCTGCTAGCAAGATCTGACATCACAGTTCACCAGGGCACTTTTTTATCATATGCCTGTTCTTTGGCGGTTGCTTGATCCTGAGTAAGTGAAATTTGAGGGAAGAGGAAGTTAGAGAGTTATATTCCAGCCTGAATTTCCTCTTTGACTAACTTGTTTGTTGCGAGGCAGTAAGTTCCTTGACTGTGGGGATCATGATGATTTACCCAGTAACCAGTACCCGGTACCAAACACAGGGCCTGGACACAGAGTAGATGTTCTGCTAGAACGTAAGCTTCACCAGGGACTTTAATTCACTGCTGTAGCCATGCCTTTTACAACAGTGCCTAGAATAGAATAGTTGTCCAATATCTATTTGTTGAATAGGTGGAAGACTGGTTGGCTGGCTGGGCCTGGTTAAAACTTCTTCACTGGTTAATAATTATAACTTTCATTTACTAGGTATATGCCATTTGCTGGGCACTTACATAAATTATCAGTAATCACCTTATCACCTTTCTACAGGGTAGAAGTAAGTGATGGGCTGTGGCTGAGGAAGGTGAGGGAGAGAGAGGAGTCAGGGCTATCTCCCAAGTTTCTGACGTGGATACTGGTCCAAGTGATGATGAAACCCAGGTAGAGGAGCATGAGTTATTTTTTAAAATAGGCTGTGTTTGTGATATCTGCAGGTAGATGCAAGGGTTTGTTCCTTGGACAAAGGCTCTAAAAATGACCCCTGTTTGCCAGTTAGCCGGGAAAGAGTGATGTTCTTGATCTTCCCAGGGCAAGGTTGCTTATTTTATTTTATTATTTTTTTAAAGATTTTATTCATTTATTTGACAGAGAGAGACACAGCAAGAGAGGGAACACAAGCGGAGGGAAGTGGGAGAGGGAGAAGCAGGCTTCCCGCCAAGCAGAGAGCCCAACGCAGGGCTTGATCCCAGGACCCTGGGATCATGACCTGAGCTGAAGGCAGACACTTAACGACTGAGCCACCCAGGCACCGCAAGGTTGCTTATTTTAGAACTGCAGGATTAAAGCCATTATTTCCATGTGTTCTAATTTGAATATGTTCAGTTTCTGTTCCAGATGATCGGGCTGAACAACGAACCTGTCTCATTTGTGGGGACCGTGCTACAGGCTTGCACTATGGGATCATCTCCTGTGAGGGCTGCAAGGGATTTTTCAAGAGGAGCATTTGCAACAAGCGGGTATATCGGTGCAGTCGTGACAAGAACTGTGTTATGTCTCGGAAGCAGAGGAACCGGTGCCAGTACTGCCGCCTGCTCAAATGCCTCCAGATGGGGATGAATCGGAAGGGTGAGTGGTGCTTGTGGCTCAACTACCCACTTTACCATCACTTTACCTTTAGGGTTAGCTATTAAGCCATGGAATTTTTCATTTCCCGAACCTGCACTATATGCCAGGTCTTGTACTGCGTACTCATAAACCCAAGACACATTTGACATAGTTCCTGCCTACAGGGATTTCCCAGAGTAGGTGGGGAGAAAGACTAGTGAGATGCTAAGGATTCTGTGAGAATGAATTCACAGGTTCCAATTGGCAAGACCCCGACTGACGATCAAGTCCTAACTCGGATTAATATACTCCACTAGTTCTTTCAGAGCATGATGACAGGAAGTAGGAATTTTAGATGAAGAGGCAGAAAGGCACTATGTCACCTGAATGTGGTATCATTTTGCTTGCTAGAATCATGGTATGCTCAGAGGTTAGGCATGCCCAGAAATCTGCATCCAGGTTGGTGAAGAATTTGGGATTTATTGGGAAGTTCTCCAAGAGCCATTAGCCTGAGATTATGTTAATAAACCAATATTCTAAGAGGATTAATCCAGGAGGCCGGCTTTGAAGAATGGATTGGTGTGGGGAGAGCAGAAAGGCCACCTAGAAAGGTTTTAGAAGAATCCAGAAAAAGATACGAAGAATCTGACGGAGGGGCAGGAAATGTGGGGAGATGTGGAGAAGCTTACCTGATAGGAGTTGATAACATACTGGGTGTTAGGCAACACCAGAAGTTGAAGTTGCAGATTTGGATTAATAGTAATGACCCCACCAGAAAAAAAAAAAATCTAAAAAGCAGGTGGGGCAAAATGTTGGCCTTGGCAGTGCATTGTTTGAGGTATCTAAGAAGGACACATACAGTGTCCACCAGGGAATTTGGATATGTAGGACTGGAACTAAAGTGAAAAATCTTGCCTTCAAGTAGAAGTTCGTGGAACCATTTGCAATCAGATGGCAAAATTTTGTTCGTGGGTAGAAATCACCCAGAGAGAACTTGGATACAGAAGAGGGAGAGGGCCAATGTCAGAAATTCAGAGTATTCTCATAGAGGGTAGAGGGTAGTACAGTACAGTTCAGTAGAAAGAATGGAGGCAGGGGTTGGTGACAGACTAGCTCTGTGACCTTGCACAGTTTGCTTTATGTCTCTAATGCTCAATGATCTTACTTTTAAAATAGTATGATAAAACTTAACCTTTCAGAGTTCTGTAGAGGATTAAATATGACAACGTATATATAAAATACTACTTAGCAGGGTACTAAGGGTTCATAATAGTAATGTATAGGGGTAGGAGTTAGATTTAGCGAACTATTCAAGTTGGTTTTGTCACATTAATAAATGCAGACAACCAGATATACTTCAGACTGTTTTTTTATTGTATGTGGGATAAGAAGAATCTTTTGAAAACTTGCCATTAGGAAGAAAGGTAAGAAAGTTATAAAACAGCATTTAGATAAATTTAGGTCATTTATAATTTGTAATACTAATATTTATTGATTACTATGTATATCAGAAACTCTTATACACTTTCTATTCATTATCTCCTTGAAAATGCACAAACCTATTATTAAATATTACTGTCAGTTTAGGGGCACCTGCTGGCTTAGTTGGTGGAGTGTGCAACTCTTGATCTTGGGGTCATGAGTTCAAGCCCTACATTGGGTGTAGAGATTACTTAAAAATAAAATCTTTAGGGGCGCCTGGGTGGCTCAGTCTTTAAGCGTCTGCATTCAGCTCAGGTCATGATCCCAGGGTCCTGAGATCAAGCCCCGCATAGGGCTCCCTCCTCAGCGGGAAGCTTGCTTCTCCCTCTCCCTCTCCCCCTGCTGTGTTCCCTCTCTCGCTGTCTCTCTCTCTCTATCTCTCTCTCTCTGTCAAATAAATAAAATCTTAAAATAAAATAAAATCTTTAAAAAAATACTCCCCTCCGTTTATGGATGCAGCTTGGGGAGGTAAAATGACTTACCAGTAGATAGGTTAGTGGTGATTATGTTGATAATAATTATTAGGTTTGTTATTAATCAAGCAGAGTTTGTACCTAACCACATGGACAACATGTCTACCGTATGGCATAGCGACTTGCATGATGGAATGCCCTGTGTTTACTGGATGATAAATACCTATAAGAGGGCATTTAAAAACTTAACAACTTTGTCCTCTGTGTTTCTAATCTCATCTTCTGTCTGGAACTTACTGTGCCTCAAGCCTGCTTTGCATTATCCTGCCTGTGTTCAGGTTCTTTCCTTTGCCTAGGAGTCCTCTCCCTTCCCCACTCTTTCCCAGCCATCAGTACCAAACAGGTGATGCCTTGAAGAGAGAGTCTATGGGCATCTACCCCCTTTCATATGATTTGGTCTCGGTCTCGTTTTCTCATTTCCCTTTGTTGTCTTCACTGTATTTTATCAAAGCATATTTATGGGTTGCCTTGACTACCTTCTGATGTTTCATCCTGCTTATTCATTTGGAGTGTGAGACTCTGGGGCTTCTAACCAAACTCTCCTATTTCAGGGAAGAAGAAGCTTAACTTCTTAATTCCTGTAACCATAGCCGGGAGAAGATGACACATGGAGTGTGAGGGGTGGGAACTGCCTTCCTGTGTCCATTTTTGTGCATTACAAGATGGCTTAGTTGCCTTGTGAAGGCTGCCTCCCAGAGAGAAACCCTGCCACCTCCTGGCTGGTGCTGAGAAAGCAGAATTAAAATTACAGTTGCCATTGAATATTTTTGAATTGATGTAACTGTCCCATATGGAACTGTAGTGTTCGACATAATTTTATGCATTTGTCAAAACCTATAGAAATATATGCCACTAAAGAATTGAATTTTACTGTATATAAATTTGTTTAAAAGCAACCAGTATAGAGGGAAAGACAGAATGTAGACTGTGATAAATAAATCTAACTGATATTACAAATAAATCACATAGCCACACTGAAGGAAATGGGAGAGAAAGGAGCCGACCTTGGGAAATAGTGTTTTGACTGTATCCTGTATACCGTAGGGCTGAAGATAAAAAGAACTGTATACAAATGAAGCTGTCTAGTTTGTAAATTTATTTCTGTCAAGGTTATGGGTTGGGAATTCTGTCACTATTTGTATACTCGGGTTGAACAAACAAGTGAATATATTGTTGATAATGAGAGTCAAATTTCTCACATCAGAGAAAAAAGTTAGAAATCAGGAAAGGGGAAGGCTAAACAAACCTCTGGTGCTAGATTGGAAGCATCAGTATGTACTCATGTTTAGAAAAAAAATTTTAGAAAAACCAGATCTTGGTTTCCAAATATCAATAAAGGGAATCAGAACTCTTTGGAGAAGGGGTTGATTCTAGAGTTGAGGTAGGGAAAATATAAGATGAGCCTGGAGTGTCTGGTGGTGCCAGAAAGTTAGAATGTGCTATATTTTTTTTTAAAAGGAGGGGGCAGGGCATTATCAAAGGGTCATAGACGTCAACCTGAAAGCACTTCCAATAGCCAAAGTTGGAACAACTTGAGCAACAAAATAACTATATATTAGTTTATAACCCAAAGAAAAAAATATCCATTAGTTCATACTGATAGAACTAACTGAATAGAGGAGTGATAGTTCTTTCTTATAGAAGAATTTCACTTAATAAGTGTAGAAGGCATGAGGGAAATAGAAAATCACCATTAAAACACACAATAACAATTGCTGTAGGCAGGATTGACTTATGGATGCTAAAATAAGAGCATAGTTTTAAACGGAAGCAGAGTATTTGCATAGCCCCAGAATATTTAGTAATTACACCGGGAAAAATAGTAAGTTTCAGTAGAGAATTCTGGCAGATACCACTTTAGCCAAGTAAGCAAGGTCAATATCACCAGTGTATATTTACACGGGCATCATATACCCCCTGATGATATAGTAGGGGCACGTATACACACAGGGATGGATTCGTTCCCAGTCTGCTCATGAGAAAACAGGCAAACCCAAATTGAAAGGCATTCTTCTAAATAACTTTTTTTCCCCACAGATTTTATTTATTTGACAGAGAGAGAGCGCGCACGCACACGCACAAGCAGGGGGAGCAGCAGGCAGAGGGAGAGGGAGAAGGCAGGGAGCCCAATGTGGGGCTCAATCCCAGGACCCTGGGATCATGACCTGAGACAAGGGCAGACACTTAACTGACTGAGGCACACCCAGGTGCCCCTAAAATAACTGACATTATACAGAATACTCTCAAAAGTGTCAGGGTCACAAAAGACAAGGAAAGACGAAGAAAGATTGAAGGAAACTATGGAGACATGACAACCTTATGCAATGTGGGATCCAAGATTGGATTCTGGAATGGAAGTGGACATCAGTGGGGAAATCTGAATAAAGTTTATACTTTGGTCAATATTATTATACCAAAGTTAATTTCTTAGTTTTGATGAATAGTCTGTGGGTTATATAAGATCTTAACAGATGGGGAAGCTGGGTATAGAGTATATAGGAATTCTCCACCTTTTTTTTTTTTTTTTTTTTTGCAACTCTTCTGTAAGTCTAAACTTACCTCGAAATTTAAAAACAAAATGTTCAAAAAAATTCAACTGACATGTATGAGTCAGCCTTCTCTTGTCCCTCATCTCTGGACATAGATATCTTTTCATACCTGGAATTTGGCTAGTCAGGGATTTAATTGGAAGACAGTGAGGGAAATTTAAATAAGGGTAGTGAGTAGAGACTGGGCCCCATCTATCCATTTTCACTACTACTCCATTATGCCCCAGACACCTACTGCTCACCCATCTTGCAGCCTTCAGGATAAATTCTGGCTCCTCAGAATGATTTCCAAAGCCCCTGTGACCTGGCATCAGCCTCTTCATCCCTTCTCCCTTAGCTGCTCCCCATACAGTTCACATTCCATCCTAGTTCTCCAAAAACTCAATGATGTTTCATGTTTGGGGGTTTTGCATATGTGGTTTCATCTCCCTGGAATGATTTACCCCCTCCTCTTCATGTGGTTATATATACTTTTCTTTGGAGACTCAGCTTTTCTTTGTAACAGCCTCTAAGCAGCTTTCTCTGACACCACCCCTCACCAGAAAGCGGACCCTCCTTGACTTCCACAGCCCCTTTTGCCCTCTGCCATAGCCCCAATCGCCTTGTGCTAGCTTTCTGTTCCCCCCATTATTAGACAATGTGCCCCTCAAGGGCTATGTCAAGTCCCACTTTCCTTGTGTCCTTTACCAATTAACCCAGTTAGGTAAGATGCTTTCTGGTTTGGTGGATTTACTGTGGTGGGGGGCCAGAGCACGAAGTGGGATAGGGGAAATATTGTTAATTTCATCAGCGGCAAGAGGAAGATATACTGAGCCTCATGAGGGAATTTACTCAGTACAGAAATTATGTGGGGGAAAAAAAGAAATTATTTGAGAATATTTAAAACTCCTTTAACTTTGTTGTCTCATAACTTACTAGTCAACTAGTTAAAAAGTAAAAAGTTAAGGAAAACTTCTTGGAAGAGGCTGATGTTTGTAGAATCTCATTGTGAGAATGACAAGTGACTCTGTAGCATTGCCATACTGCTTTACCAGGATTAAAATGGAGCACCAAGAAATCTCAAGCAGAGAATATTTGAGCAGAATCTTGAAGGCATAGAAGCTCAGGCTCCTTACAAACTTAAATAAGTATTGATTTAATTGATTGGTTGTAATCTCCACACCCAGTGTGGGGTTTGAACTTAAAATCACAAGATGAAGAATTGCATGCTCCTCCGACTGAGCCAGCCAGGCAACCCTTAAGAGCTTTTTATTTTATTTTATTTTATTTTTAGAGATTTTATTTATTTGACAGAGAGAGACACAGTGAGAGAGGGAACACAAGCAGGGGGAGTGGGAGAGGGAGAAGCAGGCTCCCCACAGAGCGGGGAGCCTGATGTGGGGCTTGATCCCAGGACGCTGGGATCATGACCTGAGCTGAAGGCAGATAGATGCTTAATGACTGAGCTACCCAGGTGCCCCCCTTAAGAGCTTTTTAAAAAACAACTCCCCTCCTCCCTCTCTCCAAACATGAGAGAGAGAGAAAAAGGAAGGAGGGAGGGGAAGGGAGGGAGAGAAGAGAAAGTGTATGTGTTTATATATTTTTTCTTAACTATTTGGGAGGAAGTTAAAGACATTGTTCCTCTTTGTTTTCTAACATAACCAGAGCCCTATTATCAAATCAGTAAATTTAACATGGCATACATAATACTGTCAGCTAATTAGCAGACCTTATTCAAATTTCACCACTTAATTCAACATCCTTTGTAGCAGTGTATTTTTTGTGATCTAGGAGCCAATCCAGGATCATGCATTACATTTAGCTTTTATGTCTCTTCCGTCTCCTTTAATCTGAAATGATTCCTCATCCTTTTTTTTTTCCTTGAATAACATTGTTAATTTTGAAGAAGACAAGTAGAATATTCCTCGACTTGGGCTTGTCAGTTTCCTCACAGTTACATTCAAGTTATGCATTTTTGGCAAGAATGCCACAACAGCGACGTTGTGTCCTTTTAGTGCATTCTATCAAGAGCGCATGGTATAGCTTTGCCCTGCTGTTGGTCATGTTAACTTGAGTCACTTGATTGAGGTGATATTCCTCAGGTAAGGTGATGTTGCCAGATTTTTCCACCATAAATTTTCTGAGTAGAGGCAACAACATGTGCGGAGGTAAAACTGTGTAAAACAGCATGACATGTTCAAGGACTAACAGATAGTTGTCTGTTGGGGCGCCTGGGTGGCTCAGTCATTAAGCGTCTGCCTTCGTCTCAGGTCGTGGTCCCAGGGTCCTGGGATCGAGCCCCACATCGGACTTCCCTGCTCTGCGGGAGGCCTGCTTCTCCCTCTCTCACTCCCCCTGCTTGTGTTCCCTCTCTCGCTGTGTTTCTCTCTGTCAAGTAAATAAAATCTTTAAAAAAAAAAAAAAAGTTGTCTGTAGTTACAGTGTAACGTTTGTGGCAAGAGATGAAGATGGGGAACCCCAGAAGAACCAGATCATGGAAGTGTCTTGAATGCTAAGCTTTAGGGAGCTTGGGTTGAACCCATAGACCAAAGGGAGCCACCAGTGGGTTTTGAGCAAGACTTTGATGTAGTTAGCTTTGTGTCTTACTCTCCTTTCTGTTTCTGGGTTTGGTTTGGCTGCCCAAGCCTAAGTGAGGAATGGTAGGTACATGAGTTCCAGAGCAGAAAAAGTATTTGTACTTCTTTTAAGCAGATAGAAGAACTATAGCTGCTGCCACTCAGACTTGGATAAGAGATACAGCAAAACCATTCCTGTGACCTTGCACCCAGAAGCCCTTTGTTTTTGTTTTTTTTCTGAATCAGTTCACTACAAGAAAGATTCTCAGCGCTGTTGAGAAACTTGCTCTTAGCTCAGTACAGCATCAAGGAACAGGCAAAGAATTAGAGAACCTAAACTAAAATTCCCCACTCTGTCAGTTCTTCCCTGAGTGGTCTTGAACAAATCCCTTTACCTCTCTGAGCTTCAGGTTTTTTCATCTCTAAACTACATAGATAATAAAAATGTACACCTTCCAAGAATCAAATGTGATACCATATATGTGAATACATTATAAGCTTTAAAATATGATCCAAGTTTTTGTTTTAACAGAGGCACTGTGACACATTGTATTATTTCCCACACTTCAGGCAGTTTCATGCCATCTTGACAAATTTTACAGTCTTTGACCAAACCAGTACTATTGTTTATATTCTTCTTTATTTTTTTAAAAAGATTTTATTTATTTGAGTGGGAGAGCAAGAGAGAGTGAGCACGAGTGGGGTGAGGGGCAGAGGGAGAAGCAGACTCCCCACCGAGCAGGGAGCCCGATGTGAGGCTTGATCCTGGGACTCTGGGATCCTGACCTGAGCCGAAGGCAGACGCCCAACCAACTGAGCCACCCGGGCACCCCTATATTCTTATTTTGTTTGTTAGTTAGTTTGTTTTTTAAAGATTTTATTTATTTATTTGACAGGGAGAGAGACAGTGAGAGAGGGAACACCAACCGGGGAAGTAGGAGAGGGAGAAGCAGGCTCTCTGCTGAGCAGGGACCCCTTTGCAGGGACCTGGGATTATGACCTGAGCCAAAGGCAGATGCTTAGCCGACTGAACCACCTAGATGCCCCCAAAACTGGATTTAGACCCAAGCTTGTCTAATTCTGAAATGTGTAATCTTCTAAGGATACCAAGGATACCAAGATATTTGGCTCCTCACCCCTTCCCAGCATAGCTAATTCCTCCTTTTCCTGCTTTAAGGAAAAGGAACTTCCTGTTAGCCTTTCAGTTACCACAGGAACTGAGCGTTATGCTTGGAACCCTCAACCCTGCCCCAAGAACTTTCTAGATTCTTCATGTTAATTTTTTTGGAAGCTGGTATATTATTTATATACGTATATATATATACATGTATATGTGTGTGTGTACATATATATATGTATATGTATATGTAGCAAAGCTTACTCTCACATGATGCTGTTAGCTTATCTTCTGTTGTTAATGTTGCCTCCTCCAAGCTAGCCTCCACAGCGGCCATCACAAAGATTTTTTGAAAATGCCGACCTGACCACATCCATCCCCTGCATTCCATCTTATCCTCAGCTTCCTCTGCTGAAGTCCATACTCTTACCCTAACATTAAAGGCTATCTATGATCTGGCCCCAGTTGGCCTCTCCAACATCCATCTTCATCTCTTGGTACTCTACACACAGGCATGCGCACGCACACACACACACACACACACACACACACACGAGTTGAGGGGAAGGGGCAGAGGAAGAGGGAGAGAGAGAATCCCAAGCAGGCTCCACATCCAGTGCAGAACCCTACACAGGGCCCAATGTCACAACCCCGAGATCATGCCCTGAGCCAAAACCAAGAGTCTGGTGCTTAACTGATTGAGCCACCCCTTTACTGACTGCTTATAGAGAGAGAAACGAATCAGATCAAAATTTTGATTAATTTAAAAAAAATTTGTTCTTCTCATCCTATAAATTAGACTCAAACTTAGCCTGGAAATAAAAAATACTTTCTTTAAAAATGGAAATATTCTTTCTATCCCTCTCTTCACATGCATCATCCTGTTGGGATATTTGTAACTGTGCACAGGACTATTAATAATGCTGTCACCTCGGGACCTGGGTGGCTCAGTTGGTTAGGCGACTGCCTTCGGCTCAGGTCATGATCCTGGAGTTCCGGGATCGAGTCCCGCGTCGGGCTCCCTGCTCAGCGGGGAGTCTGCTTCTCCCTCTGACCCTCCCCCCTCTCATGTACTCTCTCTCTCTCTCATTCTCACTCTCTCAAAATAAATAATAAATAAATCTTTAAAAAAAAAATAATGCTGTCACCTTTGCTCAGCACATTAAATGCATGCAGGGAGTGCAGTATGTGTCCATTGCCCTGGGGGCCCAGAAGTATCTGTTGCCTATGAGGTAGCCTAGAATAATGGAAAGAGTATATACTTTGGGTCCAGAAAGACCTCTGTTTTAATCTTGATTTCACCAATTATTACCTCGTGCTTTTGGCCAAGTAAGTTCTCTTTTTGTGCCTAGATTTCTGTGGGTATGCTTTTGACCGTCTTGACTTCTGTTTCCTTCCAGCAATCAGAGAAGATGGCATGCCTGGAGGCCGAAATAAGAGCATTGGGCCCGTCCAGGTGAGTTCTAGGCCTCAGTCTTTCTGATCCATCCTGGAAGCCCAGTGCTTCCAGTGTTCCTGTAGCTACTTACCTTGATCTTCTCATCTCCTGATGGGGGGGAGCCATCTTGCTTTCATTCCCATAAAATTGCTTTTAGAGCCTGGTTATGAAAGTGCTTTGAAAATTTTAAATATGTAACATAACGATTAAAGCTTGTCTTGTGATTCCCTTAACCGTTCCCAAGGATTTCACAGGAAGTGAACCCGATTCTGGTTCTAAGCCATCCAGAGGATTTTTTATGTCATTCACTCAAGGTTGTTGATAACTTAGCCTGGCAGAAATCAGTAAGACTACTTTGCTGTTCAATGTCTCTAAAGATATATCAGCAGAAAGTTCATTGCCTTACTTGTAGAGTAGGAATGATAATACCCATTCAATCTCACAAATATTTAAATACTTACTGTGGGCAGGTCCTTTGTACTGTAAACTCAGTCTAGTGGGAGAGACAGATGTGTAAACAGACATCAGAGTATAGTGAGTGGTAACAGAGGATGCCCAGGGAGTACAGAAAGGAGGGACTTCTTTTTTTTTTTTGAATTGGAGCCGTGGTTGGGAACTGAAGACATTCAGGAAGCCTTCCTAGAGAAGGTAAAGTTTGAATTGAGTCTTGAAGGAAAAGGAGGAATTAGCTATGCTGGGAAGGGGTGGGGAGCCAAATATCTTCTATTACTGCTAGACAGAACAGACTTTAAAAAGACCACGAGATGAATCTTTAAGGAATCACAGGAAGTTGATGCAGTCAGGCTGGAGTGCTGGGCACAGGTAGTGGAGTGGCAGAAGATAAGGCAGATTCCTTGAGTTTGGAATCTGTTCTCTAAAGAATAGCCTTCAGCTATCTTTGATTATAACTTCTTAGGTAAAGCCTTCGTAGGGCCAGCCTATGCCAACTTGTTCTTACTTTCCAACAGAAGAACTTCACAAAGGTAGAAAATTGGATCTGTTTATGGGCCAATAAGTGAATCCCTCAGCACACTAGTGAGTGTAAGACCATGCCTCAAGGATTCTTGGTGTGGACCAAGAGACAACTACTAAAAGCTTTTAGGTAGAGAGAGAGACATGGTCAGATTTGCATTTTAAAAAGATCATGCTAGGGGCATCTGGGTGGCTCATTGGTTGAGTGACTCACTCTTGATTTCAGCTCAGGTCATGATCTCAGGGTCATGGGATCAAGCCTCACATCAGGCTCCTTCCTCAACAGGGAGTCTATTGGAGATTTTCTCTCTCCCTCTCCTCCCCTGCCCCCCCCCCCCGCACGTGCTCTCTTTCTTTCTCTAAAATAAATAAATAAATCTTTTAAAAAAGAAATTATAAAATTACAATTAAAAAAAAGGGGGGGTGCCTGGGTGGCTCAGTCGGTTAAGCTGTCTGCCTTTGGCTCAGGTCATGATCCCAGGGTCCTGGGATTGAGCTCTGCATCAGGCTCCCTGCTCAGTGGGGAGCTGCTTCTCCTTCTCCCTCTACTGCTCCCCCTGCTTCTGCTCTCTTTCTCTATCTCTGTCAAATAAATAAAAATAAAAAAAGATCATCCTAGCAATAGAAATGGTTTGTGAAGAGCTGGGTAAGTGTCTGTGAAACTGGGAGCAGAGAAAAAGCAGTTCAGAGGGTTTTACGGAAGTCCAGCCAAGAGATATAGATAGTGGTTTTAAGTAGAGCGATGATAGTACAATTTGAAGGGGAGAGAATTAGGTTCAAGAGAGATTTAATAGGTAAAATTGATAGGATTTATCCAGTTGAATGTGAGAGAATGAGAGAAAAACAGAAATTCATAGTTGTTTTGAGACATATGCTGATGAAATATGGGGAATTTCCTAGCACATATATGCACTCAGTCAGGCTGTGGGTATGTGCTGTGTTCATTTCTTTTTTAAAAATCAAACATTTTTATTCATGTTATAGTAAAAATTAATTTATTTTGGTCTATACTCATATGTGTTCTTTTGTGTGTGTGCAGTAGAAAACATATAACATGAAATTTATCTCCTTAACAAATTAAGTATATGGAACAGTATTATTTACTATATGTATATTTTTGTACAGATCTCTACAGTCTTTTCATCTTATGACTGAAACTCTATACCCATTGAGCAACAGCTCCTTATTTCCCCTTCTTCCAGTCCCTGGCAACCACCATTCTACTTTCCCTTTCTAAGAGTTTGACTACTTTTGATACCTCATTTAAGTGGCATCATGCATTATTTGTTCTTCTGTGACTTCCTTATTTCACTTAGCGTAATATCCTCAAGGTTCATCCACATTGTAGCATATGCCAGGATTTCTAAGCCTGAATAAAATTCTATTGTATGTATATACCATATTTTGTTTATCCATTCACCCATCAATGGATATTTAAGTTGTTTCCATCTCTTAGCCATTGTGAATGATGCTGCAGTGAATGTAGAAGGGCAGATACCTCTTTGAGATCCCGGTTTCGGTTCTTTTGGATAAATACTCAGAAGTAGGATTACTGGGTCATTTGGTAGTTTTATTTTTAATTTTTTGAGAAACCTCCATACTGTTTTCTATAGTGGCCACACCACTTTACATTCCCACCCAGCAGTGCATAAGGGTTCCAATTTTCTGATCATCTGTGGTACTTCTTATTTTCTGTTTTTTCTGATAATGGCATTCTGGATAGTTGTGAGGGGATACCTCATTATAGTTTTGATTTGTGTTTTTCTGATAACTAGTGATGTTGAGCATCTTTTCACGTACATGTTGGCTGTGCTGTTTACATGTCTTTGGAGAAGTTTTTTTTTTGTATGTCTATTCAAATCTTTTGCCCATTTTTATTTATTTTTTTAAAGATTTTTTTATTTGTCAGAGAGAGAGAGGGTTGAGAGAGAGAGAGCACAAGCAGGGGGAACGGCAGGCAGAGGGAGAAGCAGGTTCCCCGCTGAGCAAGGAGCCTAATGCGGGACTCAGTTACCCTGGGATCATGACCTGAGAGCTGAAGGCAAACGTTTAACCTACTGAGCCACCCAGGCATCCCATTTTTAAATCAGGTTATTTGGGGTTTTTGCTGTTGAGTTGTAGGAATTTCCTATATCTCTTGGATATTAACCTTTATCAGATAAATGGTTTGCAAATATTTTCTTTCATTCTGCAGGTTCCTGTTGACTTTGTTGATTGTTTACTTTGCATAAGCTTTTTATTTTTTTATTTTTTATTTATTTATTTATTTATTTTAAAGATTTTATCCATCTACTTGACAGAGAGAGACACAGCGAGAGAGGGATCACAAGCAGGGGGAATGAGAGAGGGAGAAGCAGGCTTCCCGTGGAGCAGGGAGCCTGATGCAGGGCTCGATCCCAGGACTCCGGGATCATGACCTGAGCCGAAGGCAGATGCTCAACGACTGAGCCATCCAGGCGCCCCGTTGCAGAAGCTTTTTAGTTTGATGTAATTCTATTTGTCTATTTTTGCTTTTATTGCCTGTACTTTGGATATCATATTCAAGAAATCATTGCCAAGGCCAATGTCAAGAAGCTTTTTCTCTGTGTTTTCATTTAGGACTTTTATAGTTTCAGGTCTTACATTTAAGTCTTTAATCCATTTTGAGTTGATTTTTGTATGAAGTGTAAGAACAGAATCTAATTTCATTCTTGTGCATATGAATGTCTAGCTTTCCCAGTACCACTTGTTGAAGAGACTATTTTTTTTTTTTTAAGATTTTATTTATTTGACAGAGAGGGTGAGAGAACACAAGCAAGGGCAGCAGGAGAAGGAGAGGGAGAAGCAGGCTCCCCGCCGAGCAGGGAGCCCGATGCGGGACTCGATCCCAGGACCCCGGGATCACGACCTGAGCCGAAGGCAGATGCTTAACCATCTGAGTCACCCAGGCGCCCCTGAAGAGACTATTCTTATGTTGTCTTGGCAGCTTTGTCAAGATCTTTTGACTATATATATGTGGGTTTATTTTGGAGCTCTCTATTCTGTTCCATTGGTCTATAGGCCTGTCCTTATGCCAGTACCATACTGTTTTGATTACTGTAACTTTTAATATGTTTTGAAACCAGAAAGTGTAAGGCCTCTAGCTTTGTTGTTCTTTGTCAAGATTGTTTTGGCGATTTGGGGTTCTTTGGGTTTCCATATGAGTTTTGTGATTGTTTTTTTCTATTTCTGCAAAAAATGCCATTGGAATGTTGATAGGGATTGCATTGAATCTGTAGATCAACTTGGATAGTATGGGTATTTTAACAATAATTGTCTTTTAATCTGTGAACAGAGGATGTCCTTCCATTTATTTATATCTTTAATTTCTTTCAGCAGTGTACAAGTCTTTCATCCTTTTAGTTATGTTTATTCCTAAGTATCTTATTCTTTTTGATAACTATTGTAACTGAGATTGTTTCCTTAATTTCCTTTCCAGATTCATTGGTATATAAAATGCAACTGATTTTGTGTTGATTTTGTATCCTGAAACTTTGCTGAATTCTTTTGTTAGTTCTAATAGTTTTTTGGTTTTCTATTCATAAGATCATGTCATCTGTGAACTGAGATAATTTTACTTCTTTCTGATTTAGATGCTTTTTATTTCTTTTACATGTCTAATTGCAATGGCTAGGACTTCCTACAGTAAATAGAAATAGTGAGAGTGGACATTTTTGCCTTGATCCTGATCTTAGAGAAAAAGCTTTTAGTTTTTCATCGAGTATAATGTTAGCTGTGGGTTTTTCATGTATGGCCTTTATTTGTAGTCATTCTTTTTATATTTAGATGCAGTAGAAAGTTTATCTGTTGGAAAGAATTCTTAAGCATTTCCTGAATGAAAAACCTTCTTCAGCATTACTCAGTGTCTTTTGAGTACCCTTCTCCCACCATGGCAGGGATCTTCAGTCGCTTATGTCTCTAGACTTTATGTTCTCTCTAGAATGGAGGGAGCTGATGCTCAGAGAAACCTATTTCATCTGTCATTGTATTTGACTTTTTGATACTGAGCGTAAAATTTTCCTTTTGTCTCTTACTTTTTTAGGTAGTGTTAAGAAGAGAGAGCTGTGATCTCCCAAGTTCTTAACTATGTTTAATTATAATTAAAAATTAGGGATAGAATTATGATTTATTGAGTACTATTGTGCACTTCATCACTTTATCTTAGATTAACCTCTCAAGTCTGTCTGATTTAGTTCTGCACCCTAAGAGGGAGCCCAAACTACTAAGTGGGGTTATTATCTTCATTTTCTATGTGAGGGAACTAAGGCTCAGAGAACTTCAGTGACTTGCCCAACAGTAAGCACCCAGTTGGGAAATGACAGATGAGATCTGAACCTAGATTCAGGCCCTCCTAATATGTTCCATCCCCTTAATGCATCAGTGACTGCCCAGTGTCCTCTGGGACCCATATGGAGAGACAGATGCAGTCCAACTTTGGCTCCCAGCTGGAATAATCTGGTTTATCAGGACTGGTTCTTTTCACCTAGCTCAAGTGCCCTCCAAGCTCTGGTATTGCTTTCACTACCATCACTGAGGCTGCTTCAGTCAGGGTCTCAGTAGATGTCTTGTAGTTTGATGGTCAGGGTCTCGGTAGATGTCTTGTAGTTTGATGGTATCTTTTGTCTTTACATGTCTTATAAAATCTGAGATTTCAGCGTTCTAAAGATCCCTAAGAGAAAAGGTTTTTTTGTTACATGTTATTGAATAAAGAAAGACTACCCCTCTAATTCAGTATACAAATAGAAGTTTGTTAAGACCAATCACTCAACTTCTGTACCAGTTAAATGTTTCTTGTTTTCCCTCCAAGTCCTTTGTGCTGGCTGGCTTCCAATTCTAAGTGCCTCCTGTATTTATGATCAAAGCAGCTCAAGGTTTCTTCACAGGCTGCTGGAACAAAGAGTCATGCAGGTTTAAGTCAGACAGACTTGAGAGAAAATGTCCTCCCAGGCTTTCTATAGGAACAAGAAATAAAAATTTATCTGGCCCTTACTCCTTCCTGTTCACTCTCATTCTGTGCTGAGTTTAGCCAGTTAGGCTTCAACTCTGGGTTAAACACTTTATAGAAGATGTATTTATTCACTCCCTTTATGGTATGGTAGCTAGAGCCATGGACTGAATACTTGGGTACTTTGGCCTCTTCCTCAAACTCCTCCTGACACATGGGCATACAGTGTGATCTTGGGCAAGTCAGTTCACTTGTCTGAGCTAAAATTTCTTCTTATTTATTCTGTAGGCTTGGGAATATCTTTCTTACTAAGAAAATCCATGTGAAGTTTCATGGACAGTACTTAATAAGTGAACATTTGTTTATCCAACATGCATTCTTTGAGTACTTTTTTCTGGATTCTATCATAGCCTTAGGTCTGATAGAGGATATTTTTATGATACATTACCGTAAGTGCTATAAAAATAACAATGATGGTGAAGATAGCATTGTCAACTTCCATAATTGTTGCTATGTGTTAAGCCCTTTTCTAACCATGTGATAATGTATTAACTAATTCAATCCTCACAACAATCCCATGAGACAGATACTATTATTTTCCCTACCACACAAATAATTTTTGTTCAGATTTTGAATTTAAGTTCAAATAGTTAAATGACTTGCCTAAGATTGTACAACTAGAAAGTAGCAGAGCCTGTATTGGAACAAAGGTGGTCTGACTCTAGAATTCATCCTTGTAATCACTGTGCTATTCTGCCTATCTCAGAATACACAGAATTAGAAGTGTATAGAAGAAGGACCTAAAATTTGTCTAGGTAGTGATAGAAGGATTCACAAAGAAGGTGACATTTGAATTGGGTCTTAGAAGGCAAATAGGAGTTTGTTCTTCAATAGTAGTGTTTCAGGGGTAGGAAAAAATAGACTCAAAGAGAAAGAGTGTTGAAGAACGTGAAGACTTTGTGGCTTGAGAAGAGGGTAAATGGACAAGAGGAAGGCCATAGTGAGCTATGGTGCTGGGGAACAAGCAGCTGAGCTGTCCTAAGGTTAGTGAGAGACCCTGGAGTATGGAGATGGAGGAGAGGGAATCTGGATGTCTCTCTAGAGAGTTCTGGGAATCCTTGTGAGGTTTAAATAAATTCTTGGTCCTAAAGAAGGAACAGAGGATATCCTGAGCATCCAATCTAACATGTATCAATTCCTTGTCAAAGATATCAGAGGAAGAGATCGAAAGGATCATGTCTGGGCAGGAATTTGAGGAAGAGGCCAATCACTGGAGCAACCATGGTGACAGCGACCACAGTTCCCCTGGGAACAGGGCTTCAGAGAGCAACCAGCCCTCACCAGGCTCCACACTGTCCTCCAGGTGAGCTTCAAGGCAAACCCAGCATCATCTAGGGACCACCCAAAGAGTAGACCCACAAGGAGCATCTGGGCTGGGTATTCCTGCCAGTGTGTCTCAGCCATTGTACCCTTGTTCCCTCAGTCTTTGGTGTAGGGGCCAGGATGACACAAAGCAGCATTTCACAGCCAACTTTTTGCTAAAGACATTGAAAATGTCAGCAGCCTCTTCTGCAGGCTAATAAAGTGATATAGCTGCTGTCTGTGCCCATACGTTCTTTACCTAACAGAATACCATTTTTAAATGTAGCTCTTTTCTCATATTTATCGCGGAAATAAAACAAACCACATTGACTATATTGAATTAAGTTCTCATTTCTCTGTCTCAGCAAGAGTGAAGATTTTCACTTTATAAATTTTAAGAAACTAAAAAATTTTAAGCTAATTAAATTTGCTATCATGGAATACCAACTTGGAGACTCTTGGTTCAAGAATGTTACCTTAAGTTAATCGTTAGGTGTAAAATGTAGCCATCGGCTACCAGGGTAGATTTCCTTTTTGCAGAAATCTTTCTTATAGGAAAGGGATTGATGAACTTTTTCTATAAAAGCCAGATAATAAATATTTTAGGCTTTGCACGCCACACAGTCTGGGTCTGAACTACCCAGCCCTACCATTATAGTGCAAAAGCAGCCAGAGACTATGTAAATGAATGAATGTGGCTGTGTTCCATTAAAATTTCATTTACCAAATGGGCCATAGGCTATAGTTTGTCAACCCCTGTTACAGGAAATGCATCTAGGTAAAGCCAGAGGATTTTTGTTTTAGGTGACAGAATGATTAGATTTCTCCAGGAAAGGGAAGAAGATAAGAATCTGCCTTTCTCTTGTTATTTTATTATAACTTTTATTCATTTGATTGTTCCTTTTTTGTTCCTTCCTTTATATGTTTTGGGAGTTCTTGCCAGATTCCTTGCCAAATTCCATGTCAGATTCCTTGCTAGGTGCTGGATTTGTTTTATGGCCTGGCAAGGCCCTTAGCCTGTCTATGCCTTAGTTTTCCTAGCAGTAAAAAAATACATACCCCCACCTTTGTGGATTATAGTCTGTGAGTATCCATTAAAATCTCTTCACATGTGATACCTATACAAAGAATTTATTCAACCACTCTTTATTTAGTACCTATTTTGCCAGGTCCTGGGTGTCCAATGATAAATCACACATACAGACACCTGCAGAGAGTCCCTGTCTAGTGGGGGAGACATGCATGTAATGATTAATTAACATCTTCCCTGATGAAGACAGACTGCATGGCCAAAAAACACCTTAGCCATCTTGAGCAGGCAGTAGACCTGCCATGGTTCTGCTTGACATGAGACTTTTCTCTTCAGTAGGTCTGTGGAACTAAATGGATTCATGGCATTCAGGGAGCAGTACATGGGGATGTCTGTGCCTCCACACTATCAATACATACCGCACCTTTTTAGCTATTCCGCCCACTCGCCACTCCTGCCCCCACAAGCTCGCAGCCTGGATCCCCAGTCATACAGTCTGATTCACCAGCTGGTGTCAGCCGAGGACCTGGAGCCACTGGGCACACCCATGTTGATTGAAGATGGGTGAGTGCCCCATTTAGCCCTTGCAACTTCAAAATGATCCCTGCCCCACACCCACCTTCATCCCTGGCTACTAATACCCTAGGCTTTGGAATGAGTCAGGGGGGTATTGAGTAATGACTCAAGCATCAGAGGACAAATCTATTTATCTTTGAAGTCAGCGGTCCCTTGTTTTTCTCTTGAGCATCTTTTTTCAGAGTTGGGGCTGTTTATCAATTCTTATGGAATTGGGATTAAAGGACTTTTGTTTCTGCTTGGGCCTAGGTTAGCCAGGCCCTGAGGTGGTCTGAGTGCTTCTCTGGCTCTGAGCCAGAGATGAGCTGTAATTCTGGGAATAATTATACATCAAGTCCAGACTCATTAACAAGCCATTCAAGGCACTAACTTGTTGTGGACTGTCTGCATCCCTAGCAATGTGCCCATTAGTAGCCTGGTGCCATGTGCACTGTGTGCAGACCTGAGTGGGTGGGAGGAATACTCTTGTCAATCCTCTGTCAGCTCTACTAAGTAGATACTAGTTCAGCCTTTAGGCCCACCAGTTGCTGCACCCATTACTCCTTCGGCCTGAGGCATAGGCTGTTTGTTATCAAGCTTAGACCCCCTAGGATGTATCCTGGGATTTCTTAAGCTAGTCTCCAATATCAGAAGAGGAAATTCAAAGATCTGCTTACAAGAAGGCCACACAAAATCTTTATAAACCTGGGTGTGGGGGTGTGGAGATGAGTCATGCCCAGGGGTCTTGAGAGAAAGAAAACTGGGACCCTGTCTCATCCAGCCCAGAGATGAGAAATGCCCTGTTTCTTCCATTCAGCAGTAGTTTACAGGGGCTGAGTAACTTTAGTTTCTGAAGTCTCACCACCAGGGGGTGCAATGAGAGCAGGAAAATCTTCTGAACATGTTCTCTTCTCTTTCAGCCATGTGGCCTCAGGCTCATTTCTGTGCCAGTCCCTGTATTGGGTGGGCACCAGATCCGCCCTACAGGAGCTCTCGTTGCCAAAACTAGTGCAGGAGTGATGGAATTTTCTCTAACACATGGAACATTAGTGGACACCAACATTAAAAGTCATGTTCCCTAATAAATTGCACAAATTTCCAAGCCTCCTTTCCTTTCTACAACCTTTTCTCACCAAACCCACCTCTCCAGCCTTGAGCTTGCTGCTGGCCCCAGTCCTGCCCCTTTATCATTAGACTCAGTTGAATGGAGCTGGAGACCCATGATCAAGGACAAGGAACCAACTGTTAGAGACCCTTTTTACTCTTAGGAGTACCCTTTCCCTGTGCCCCCCCATGCTCCCCCTCTGGCCACTGGAAGTGATTTTCCACTGTCCCTACCCCCAGGTATGCTGTGACTCAGGCAGAGCTGTTTGCCCTGCTTTGCCGCCTGGCCGATGAGCTGCTCTTTAGGCAGATTGCCTGGATCAAGAAACTGCCTTTCTTCTGCGAGCTCTCAATCAAGGATTACACGTGCCTCCTGAGCTCTACCTGGCAGGAATTAATCCTGCTGTCCTCCCTCACCGTTTATAGCAAACAGATCTTTGGGGAGCTGGCTGATGTCACTGCCAAGTACTCACCCTCTGATGAAGAACTACACAGGTAAGGGTTGTTGGTTGGGGAGGAAGTCCCAAGCAACCAAACCACCGTCATCCCTGCAAGGTGGGGATGGAGTGCCCCCACTGACCCTCTAGAGGATAGGAATTAAAGCCACACACTGGGCTGGTTTTGAATCCTTAACTCTGCCACTGACTAGCTTTGTAACCATAGTCAAGTCTCTGATTCCAACATTCTGAATTTATAAAATGGGATAATACCTGTACCTCCCCAACAAGGTAGTTGTGAAAAATAAATGATACTGTGCAGCGAGCCTTAGCAGAGTGCTACACTATTATTATTATTATTATTTATCATATCTGGATTGCTGAGATAAGAGAATGTATCTGGGCAAAACAAAAACCTAAGCTCTAAACTTCATCTATAAAGTGAAGGGCTCTGAGCTATAGTTTACAATTCAAGAACAAGATCTAGAAGTCACTGTGGTACCTACTATATGCCAGGCACTGGGCTTGGTATTTTATATTACTGTCTTATTCTTTTCTCATAGCCTCTAGCATTATAGATGTTGTTGTGCCTATTTTATGGATAAGAAAACTGAAGTTCAAAGAGACCTGCCCTTTAATGTTTTGGGTTTGAACCCAGAGCCTTGATTTGAACCTATGGCTGCCCATTGTCAAAGCTTAGGCTCTTTCACTGCATCTGAGATGCACTGAGGTGGTAAGAGCATGGGGCTAAGAGACCCAGCCGCTCTCTTCAGTGTTTTCTGGCGTAACTTCTCATCCTACTTGGCCAGGATCCTAATCTCCCTGTCTAGCACAGATCTTTCACTCACTTTGGTTTTTTTTTTTTTTAAGATTTTATTTATTTATTTGACAGAGAGATACAGTGAGAGAGGGAACACAAGCAGGGGAAGTGGGAGAGGGAGGAGAAGCAGGCTTCCTGCTGAGCAGGGAGCCCGATGGAGGGCTCGATCCCAGGACCCAGGGATCATGACCTGAGCCGAAGGTAGATGCTTAACCGACTGAGCCACCCAGGCACCCCTCACTCACCTTGAAGACCTAGAGCACATGGTGACAACTCCAAAATCAGGACAGGTGATCTGTTGATACAGGTTTTCTGGCTTATTAATTTATCATGTGAAAAATAAAGCTTAAATCACATTTAAATAGACATTTCAGTAATTCACCTTTATTGAACAGTTTTTAAAAATGGAAGTCATGGGATTCCAGAGCACCAAGAAAGAGGGGAGAAGAGGTATCCCCATCAATGAAAACTGGAGGAGATGGGGTATTAGTCCCCACAATTCTCTACACAGGACCAAAGTGCCTCTCTTCTGTCACCCAATTGCCATGGAATAAAGACAGGCTAAGTGTTAGGCTGAGGCTGAAAGTAAAGCTCCAAGACCCTCAGGGGCCCTGTGCACAGCTGATGGAGGGAAGAGTCTGGGTGCTGACACTCTCCCCTGGTTTTCTAATATTTCCTTTTCAGTGATGCTTACTGGCTTCAGAATTTTGAACCCAGCTGACACTTTGTCCTGTAAACAGAGCTATCTGATTTTGCAGATGACTGAACTCCCTGTTTTGAGCCTCTAATTGTTTCCATCAAATTCCTATCTCCAGCTCCTTCATTCTGGGCCAACTGAGTGTTTGAGTCGCAGTCTGCAGGTTTTAATATTGTCAGAGTTTGCAGAGCTGGCCCAATGAGTCTGGCCTCTTTAATCGCCTAGAATCCACCAGTGCAGCCTGGGGCTGTCTACAAAGTCGGCCTATGGGCTCTAGTCCCTATAGAATGATGGGTTTTCCCAGGCCCTCTGCAGGTAGGCCGGGATCATTGGCCATGCAGGGTTCTTTGTGGCTTTGAGCTTCATAAAGCACCCCATCCTACTGTATCCAGTCCCTTGAGCCCCAAGAGCAAGGCAGAGGCTAGTAAATTAGTGAGGAAATGTTTATTTCTAGGAAGTCTCCTTACTGAGGAGAATGTAGAGCTGCACTGTCCAATATACTAACTGTTAGCCTCAGGTGACTTTTTAAATTTAAGTTAATTAAAATTAAGTAAAATTAAAAATTCAGTCCTCATTTGCACTAGCCACATTCCACATGCTCACTAGCCACATGTGCTTAGTGGGTACTGTATTGGACAGTGCAGATATAGAACATCTCCATAGTCTCAGAAAGTTCTTTTGAACAATGCTGATTCTAGAACATGTATTAGTTCTGAGGATAAGAAATAGATGTATTGTCAGGACTTACTGCTCCATGCAAGAAGCATATGGAATCCTTCCATGGGTAAAACGAGTTAAACTTCAACACGTTCGTTCTGATTCCATGCCCATGTACCTAGGACCCTGTTGTGTGTGTCAGAGGGAGGGGAGTTGGGATTGAGATGGTGCAGACATGGTTTCTGACTCTGAGGTGAGAGCCCCTATTCTTGGCTTAGGGGATTGGGAGACAAATAGAAACGGATAACAACCTATAAATTGGGGAGATACTGGTGGAGATTGAGGGGTATATGAGGGACTGTGTAAGCACAGCCAAGGGAGTAAGTACCTCTACTTGCATAATCAAGTAATGCTTTCCAGAGGATAAGACATTTGAGCTGCATCTTGAAGTGGGTTTTTCTAGGTAGATTATAGAGAAGAGGAGGAAGGCAGGAGATAAAGTCCTAGAAGTTAGAGATCCTGGGTGGTTGGTTTGTGCAGGGAACCCAAAGCAATCCCGTGGATTAGGGTATAGAGAGAATTTATCTGAGAGACAGAAATGAGGGGAGAAATGACTGGAGAAGAAGATAAAAAAAGGCAGATCATGAAGGTGTTCAAATGCCAGTCTAGGGGCACCTGGGCGGCTCAGTCGGTTAAGCGCCTGACTCTTGATTTTGGCTCTGGTCATGGTCTCGGGGTCCTGGGATTGAGCCCCACATTGAGCTCCCCACTCAGCGGGGAATCTGCTTGTCTCCCTCTCCCCCTGCTCACACGCACATGTGCACTCTCTCTCTCTCTAAGAAAGGAAATAAATAAATCTTAAAAAAAGATTCATTTAAATGCCTATCAAAAGAATTTGTGTTACATTATGTAAATACTATTAAATCATGAGATGTTTTTATGTCAGGCAATTACACGCTCAGGTGTCATTTTAGAAAGATCCCTGTGGCTGTAAAGCTCAAGATGGATTGGCATGGACGACACTAGAGGATAGTGGCTGGTAGGAGGTTTTTCCATAACCCAGGTAAAAGAAAACAAGGCCTGGACAAGGCAGCAGTGTCTCTGGGAATAGAGAGGGCTGCACAGAGTTACGAGATAACAAGGAGGTATAGTCAGTGGGACTTCAGTGAGGCGGAAGTTGGGGATGCTGCCAGGCAGGTGAGTGCCGATTCTCTTAGCCACGATAATGGAGCCTGAGAAGAACAGGCTAAGCAATGAGCCACTCTGGTTTGGGGTCTGTTGAGCCTGAGACGCATGAGCCTGAGAGCCCAAGAGGTCAGAGGACAAGGAAGTATGAGAACCTCTGGAATCAGGTACATCAGAGTAAAGCATTCCTTACCCTGCTAAAAACTGGGGTGTGGAGTCTGTAATTGGCCATAGCTCTTTTCTACCTTGCCTGCTCCTGCATTACTCCTACTCCCCCAAAATGCCTTTACTTTTTCACGACTCTTGAGTGCAAGTGAGTTCCTGCTGTCATGAAAAGGCTTTTCCCTGATGATACATGACCACCTCCTTTTCTCTTCTTAAATATTGAATCAAATTTATGGTACCCATTTTCCTTAATCAGGCTGTTATCAGACAGTGAGCTGGGCGAATTTGATTTAAAGCAGATTGTAGCACCAGCCAGTGACTGCTCCTGGCCCTAATCAAGACTCCTTCACTCTCAAGAGAAGATGCCTTGCACTAGATGGACTTTAATGGGCACTTCTATCTCATGAACACTAGCTCCATTTCTGCCAGATCTCTGGAAAGTTGCCTCCCAGCTTCTCTGCTCACACCCTAGCTGTAAGGTTCAAGAAACAATCTTTTCTTTTTGTTGTGATAACAGGAGCAATGATGATGATGCCATTAATAATGATAATAGCTAACAATTATAGACTGTTTATTGTGCCAAATTCCATCTCAAGTGCTTTACAAACATTTGGTTAGTCCTCACCACCACCCCAAGCAACTGCTCTGATGTTATCCTTGTTCCACAGATGAGGAGCATGAGATTGAGAAAGGTGAAAAAACTCAAAGCTACAAACCTAGAAAGAGATGAAGTTGAGATTATCACCTAGATCTGTTGTGCTCCAAAGCCCAGAATCCTTACTATTACCCTCTACTAAATTATTTAGCCTTCTAAAAAGTTCAACTTTCTGGAATGTGTCCTAGAGTTGCAGTCTTACTTTCAATCTTGGAGTGTTTACATGGGTGCTGAGATGACAATTCCTTTAAAGCTGATGACTGCTCCTGGGGGTAGGTGCACTTAGCTGAATGAAAAAGAGACAACTGGGCCTCTCAGCCCCCTTAATGGGACATAACTTACATAGTGTCAGCTTCAATTGCTGACTGAATGGTCCAGTGGTTTGGGGGATCCTGGCAGGAATGTTTTCTTTGTCCTAGCATGCTTGTGTAATGGGAACCTCGAAGAAGAATGGGTGTGTTTGTCCAACTCTCTGGTTTTAAATGCTGATAATTTGCAGACAGGGAATACAGGGGCGTTAGAACTGTGGAGTGGGCAGATGTGGAGGAGGCACGGCTGCAGGAGAAAGCAGGCCCATGGAACAGAGAACAATTTGTTTATCAAGGGGTGGGATGCGGGGTGTGGAGGAAAGCTTTGCAGTCGGGCTGTGGAGACTGAGTGGGGGCACTGGGCTGGCTGCCAGCCCCCCCCCCCCACTGCCAGGGATCCATGATGGTTGCCTGTCCTAGGAAATGTGGGAAAGAAGGTACATGCTGTCCCCAAGAGAAAGGGCAGATTTGAGACATAAGCTCACGCCAGGCACTTGGGAGCTCCTTTGTGTCCCTCACATCAAGACTCAGCCAGCAGTAAGTTCACCGCTGCTGGCTGGGGGTCTGGCTGATAACCACACACCTGCAGGTTCTGCAGTGCCAGAGGGAGCACTTGGGGCAAGCGGTTGCTGATTAAGGGAGAGAACGTTATCTTTGTTTGCTACACTGCTCGGCCACAGACAGATGCTGGCATTGCCGCTCTGCCTGCGTCCTCCTTTTTGATGCTGTACCCCATTTCCTCCCCACACCACCCCCCCAGGCAGATACTAGAGGGAATTCTCAGTCAAGACCTTTTTCCTCGCAAGAACAGAAGTAGTCATCAGAGTCCTGTGATGAGGCGTGCTCTTCACTCCCAGGCCCACTGCCTCCTGCATGTCTCAGCATCATGGAGGCACTGTAGCAAACCCTACACCCGACTGAGTTGGGCCCTGGGCTGAGTCGCTGTGGGAACACAGAGCTCCTGAGGTCCCCTGTGGTGGCATGAGGTAGCCTTTCCCAGTTACCAGTTAAGAACAAGATAGGGAGTAGACAGTGTAGTGCTGAGAAAGTGAGAGGCTTGGAATTAGAAAACTTGGGTTTAAACTTTGGCCCCACCCCACCGCCACTCATTTGCTATGCAGCTTTGGGGTAGGCAAGATGCTCTTCTTTTGCTTCCTCATCCCTAATGTGCAGGTGATCTTACTTATCTCACAGGTTGCCAGGAAGGTAAAATGTGAGAATGCAGTAGGGGCACAGTAAATAACCTCTCTGAGCTTTGTTTCCACATGTGAACGAAGAGGGCTGTAATACCAATTTTGTAGATTTATTGGGAGTATCCTGTGAAATAATATGTGTAGAATATTTAACAAAGTAACTGGCAAGTAGCAAACACTCAACAAAGGATAGAATGGTAGATAAGGTTAGTATAGTAGTTATTCAGTATAAATTTGTCTATCAGCCAGTTTGGGGAAGTATTAATAAAGTTGTAAAAGCCATTGTGCCAGGCACAGAAATGGAGTCAGCCCTCATTGTTCAAATCAGCGGATGGAGGAAAGAAGCCCCAGGCCGTGATGGGGCTTTGAGGCAAAGGGGTCAGGCTCTAGCGATGGGTAGCTGCTCCTGTAGCTCCCTCTGGTGCTTGACAAGTGGAGATGCCACAGATGCCTCTGGCCCCAATCAGAGCCCGGCTTTCCCCCCAGGAAGAGAAAATGTGCCGCTTGCCCAGACGCCAAGCCTTTGCAAAGCCGTCACAGTCAACGCAGAAGGCAGTCGAGCCCAGACAGCAGCAGTCCGTCCCTAGGTGTTCAGGACCCTACCCGGGTAGGGGCTTCTTGCCTGGCGTAGGGCTGCGGTACTCAGATCTGAACATGTCACCGGGAAGTAGTCCCAGAGCTGAGCATCTTCTCTCCTTGACTGAGCTGCATCTAAGGCCTATCTGGAACTCTCCTTAGTCCACTCCTAGAAGGGCAGAGGCTGAGCCTGACCCCAGCTATTATAAACTCTTGCTTCCCCATTAAGCTTTTTAAAGCCTTCTTGGTTTGGTGGTATCTCCACCTCTGGTATGAGGTATTCCCCACTGTGACCCAGAGTATTAGTCCCCTAACCTGGGGCTCCTTTTTCTGAAACTTGGTCTTTCCCCACGGAGCTTACTTCTAATCCAAAGAAAGGAGCATGGTCCGCATTGAGTCTTAACTGCTACAGTATGATGCTGCACTTAGATATCGGGAAAACCAAGGGCTTGGGAAGTTAGACTAGGTTCCAAGTTCTAGCTCTGCCACGAACTAGCTGTGTGCTTGTGGACCAGTCCCCTCTGCTCTTTGAGCTTCAGTTTCTCATCTATACAGTGGTAATGATAATCTCCCATAGCCCATAGAGCTGAGAAAATTAAATGAGAGAGTGCACATAAAGTGCCCAGCATGGAGACTGGCATGGATGGCATGGAGGTTCAGTTAATGTTTCCCTTCCTCCTTAGCTAAAGTCAGGGATGCCAGTAAAATTTCTCATTGTGCATAACCTCAGCCCTGCTGGAAACAGTAAACCTAAAAAATATAATCATCAGCTTTTTCTTCACCATGGCAGAGGCTCAGAGTCACCATGGCAGCTGACATTGATACTGGAGGCTGCATCTCAACAATAGCAGTATCTTAATAATGTCATATTTTTCTACATTTACATTTCATACCGCCTTTGGCCCTTGTTACCCCAAGTAGGCAAGTATTATTATTTTACAAAAGAGAACCTCAAAGCTTAGAGAGGTCAAATGATTTTCCCAAGGTCTTATAGCTTTCATATGTTGGAGCTGGATTTGAACTTAGATTTGATTGACCCCACCTGACCTTAGAAACAGCGGCTTGTATGAGCTGCCTTGCCTCTAGACAAACCATGGATCTACCTGTCCTTCCTAAAGGTTCTGGATTCCATTTCCCCCAAGCTCAGGCTCTTTTCTATCTTAGATGCCTTAAAGAGCTGTAGGAGACCTCTGTCTCTTCCCTTCTTTAACCTCCACTGGTATCAGAGCCCACTCACACCTCTGTCTGTTCCCCAGATTTAGTGATGAAGGGATGGAGGTGATCGAGCGGCTCATCTACCTGTATCACAAGTTCCATCAGCTAAAGGTCAGCAATGAGGAGTATGCTTGCATGAAAGCAATTAACTTCTTAAATCAAGGTAAGTAGCTGGAGGTGAGAAAAGGGGATTTTTTTTTTTTTTTTTTGCCGGAGAGCAATTTCCCTCATGTTACACACACCACCTCCCACCCCTTTGCCCTCAGGACTGTCACACAGAATCTGTCACACCATGTGGGTACCAATCCTAGAAGGCCTGTGCTGTCCTCAACCTGCCCCTCTATAGCGCAGGGCATGCTTTGGATTTTTTCTTCAAACCTAAATGCCACAGTCTCTATAACTCATAGAGGAAGGAAGAGGATTCGCTTTGTTTAGTCAGTTTTAATGCATTTAAACACAGACGCCAAGGACAGTACATGCGTCATTTAAAATATGTACCAAGTTTACCAGCGGCTGAAGAAGAGCAGGGTGACTGATGAAACTACTGGAGATAAGACGTCTGTGACAGGCTGGCAGTGGTTCTGACGGCCTCTACAGGGCAGAGTGGGGGGTATACAAAAACTCACACAATGTGGGGCGCCTGGGTGGCTCAGTCGTTAAGCGTCTGCCTTCGGCTCAGGGAATGATCCCAGGGTCCTGGGATTGAGCCCCGCATCGGGCTCCCAGCTCTGCGGGAAGCCTGCTTCTCCCTCTCCCCCTGCTTGTGTTCCCTCTCTCACTGTGTCTCTCTCTGTCAAATAAATAAATAAAATATTAAAAAAAAAACCACCTCACACAACATGTATCAAGCATGGCTTTTAATTAGAAGAGTGCTAGATGTGGTTTATGTGGAGTATTACCTGCAAAGTGGTGCTTGGTAGCTGCTAGGAACTGGAGTATGGAGAATTTATATTCTCTTTTTTCCAAAGTAGCACATGAGTGCTCTGTTCTCACAGTGGAACTGGGCTGTTTTGCTTCCTGTGACATTGAAATTGCTCTGTTACTGTATTCAGTTTCCTAGTCCAGAGACTTCTGAGCCCCTCCTCTTTGAGTACTCTCCCTGCTGCTTCTCCACTATTCATTCATTTATCTTCTCCATTCATTTATCTGCTGTTCCGTGTGCCTCCCCTAGATCAGGCACTGTGTTGAACATTAAAGACATTAAATAAAATAGATCCCAGGTCCCTGGCTTCAAGATGTACACACTCTAATGGCACTTGACACATTACTTGAACCTCAGATTGGGGGGGATCAGCAGCAGCTACTTGGAGGAGAAATCTGAGCTGGGCCTCAAAGATTGGGTAAGATTTATATAGAGAATATTTATATCCTATTTTATATATAAATTATATAGATAAGTTATATTTATATTCTACGTATAAAAAGGAGTTGGTATGTGCACGTATATATACACACATACATATACATTATATATAAATACATGAGAGAGAGAGAAATCTATATAGAAAAAAGCTAGAGTGACAGCCCAGGTAGAATAGTATGAGCAGAAGCACATAGGAGACCATGTGTGAGTATGTGTAGGTATCAGCAAGCTTTCTGATTGGCTCCAGCAAAGGGCCAGTTTAAAGATATTGTGAAGGATATATTATGAAAGTTAGATTACTCAGTCAGTTGTTCAACATCAACTGGTGCCTGTTTTGTGTCAAGCCCTGTGCTGGGAGCTGTGTAGGAAGTTGAGAAAGATACAGCCTAACGCTCAAGTGTCTCAGTCTAGTGACTATCCTTTATAATTTTTTTCCTTCTTTATCTGATTTCTCTTCCCTTATCCAGAGTTTTCTTCCCCCATGATAGAAAGAGAAAAGATCTCCTGTTGTGACAGTGTTGTATAACTTTTAATCAAAAGATGCACATATTCAAGGAGCTGGTGTTTCTTCCACAGTAGAAAGCCCCTCCTTTTCCTGTGTGTTTTTTTCACAGATATCAGGGGTCTGACCAGTGCCTCACAGCTGGAACAGTTGAACAAGCGATATTGGTACATTTGTCAGGATTTCACTGAATATAAATATACACATCAGCCGAATCGCTTTCCTGACCTCATGATGTGCTTACCTGAGATTCGCTATATTGCAGGTAACATTCTTGGTGCTGGGCTTCCAAACCTTCCTTGCTTCTCTTGGCTTGTGAAAGAAATGAGACAAGTAGTGTTTTCAAAATGCTCATTCCGGGCTCATAACCAACTGCATAAAAGAACTACGACCATTGCCCTCAGAAAAGTTATATTATAATGAGAAGTTTGTGTTTTCTTTGTAGGGAAGAGAGTCTAACATTTCCTGAGTGCCTATCATGTGCAAAGTGCTTTGTGGCCTTATGTTGTTTAATCTGAGAACAAACTCTGCAAGGCTGGTTGTTGGTGATATTTATGGTCCTTCTGTGGATGGGGAAACAGGCTCAGAGTTTCTCAAATTAACTTCGTTTCCTGAATATATACTAAATATATACTTTAAAAGGGTATATTTTATGCTATGTGAATTAATTATATCTCCATTTTTAAAATTAACTTCATTTCATAGAATTTCTTAGAGATTTTTGGAAATCATTCATTTAAAGCAATATCTTTAAAATAATTCTCAAGAATCCTGCCTTTGCAAAGGAAGTTTTGTTGTTACTGCTTTGTAGTCTTGACCCCCTTCTGAGCTTCTTGACATTTAAATAGGTCCATTCCAGTATGAAATCCTGGGTTTTGTTGTTACTGTTGTTTTAGTTCTTCTGGTAAAGATTCTTGTATATAGTAATCCAGCACACACTGAGGGAAAACTCAGAAATGTGACCTCTAAGATGAAACTGTTTCTGTCAAATTTAGCCGCCCAATTTTGAAGGAAAAAATTTTCAGTCTGACAAAGGAATTTTTTTTCTACTTTTTGGACCTAGATAGTCTAGCTGATCTGAACTGGACCTAAAATGTTGGAATTTTGGGGGTGCTTTGATAGTTTATGGCTCAGCATTTCCAAATCTATGTTTTACGGAATAAGATATTAATCAGATGCTCTGAAATAAAGGGAAGTCAGTAGTTAATACCCCACTCTCCCCCCGCGCCCCCACAGAGCTGGATTCTCAACTCTGGCAACATTTGAATCACCTGGGAAGCTTTTAAAAAGTATCTGTGCTTGGATTGCACCTGCAGAGATTCTGATTTAATTGGTAGGGAGTGGGGCCTGGGCATCAGTATTTTTTTAAAACTCCCCAGATGACTCTAAGGTACTGGCAGGGAGAAGGACAGCTTCAGATATTTACAAAGGATATTAGCACACTGAATGCTCCGAGAAACCTTCCAGTAAAGAAACCTGTATACCTTTCTTAACCCCAAATTTCTCAAATTTATTTGCCCCTGTGACCACCCCCCTCCTTTTTTTCCCAGTACTTTTATTAATCCATTATACTATTCTAAAGAACAGAATGCTAGAGAATCTACCAGGAAAAAAAAAATAGGATATGTTTCTCAGGGTATTTTAGCTCTAAGAGAACATCTAGGAATACCTTTCAGTTTAAGTTTCCTCATCTATAAAATGGAGATAACAAGTAATATCTATTACATGAAAATACTATGAGAATTAGATAATGCATTTAAACAGTTAGCACAGAGTAAGTAGATGATAGCAATGATTATAACCTGAATCATTACTGGACTCTCTAGGGTACCAAAATGGGTCTGGGTATCAGGATGTTAGCATAGTTTGTCTGATATTCCTGTCTTTGTGATACTCCTGGCACTTTCTCACTCCAGTCCCTCAAAAAGGCAACATTCTCCCTTCCCCAGCCTAAGGAGGCAGACACACCTGGGGTTAAGAAAGGTATACAGGTTTCTTTATTGGAAGCTTCCAGTAAAGCCACCACTAACTCTTCTTTTCCTGCCTTGTTACCAGGAAAGATGGTGAATGTACCCCTGGAGCAGCTGCCCCTCCTCTTTAAGGTGGTACTTCATTCCTGCAAGACAAGTGTGGGCAAGGAATGACCTGTTCCCAGCGCCCCTCCTCAGGCCAACCACAGCGCCTTGGGTGGGCAGGACAGGCTCCAGAAGAAAGAGCCAGAGAGACCAAGATGGAGGCTGTGGAGCAGTGTTTCCAGTTGCCTCCATAGCAAGAAGAGTTTTTGTTTGTTTGTCTGTTTTTTTAACCTCATTTTTCTATATATTTATTTCACGACAGAGTTGAATGTATGGCCTTCAACATGATGCACATGCTTTTGTGTGAATGCAGCCGATGCATTTCCTTGCAGTTTACAGAATGTGAAGATGTTTAATGTTATAGTGTTGTCATTGTTTAGAGATAGTTCTTTTGTATTTTGAGGGAGAGGGTGGGATGGGGCTGAGATGAATATTTCCATATGTTGACAAAGACGACTACCTCAGTGGAAAGGGAGGGGTGTGACCATCCCTACTTTTTCCACATGTTCTCAGCAGACTCCTACATTAGTCTGTCAGAGAGCAAACTGCCTTTTTCTAGCCACAGAATTGCCAGGTAAAAGTAAAAGAGCACACCATAAAGGGGCAAAGTGGTGTTGGGAGGTTTATTAAGCAAAGTGGGTGAGACATTGGAAACAGGGCAGGAGATGAGGATTTAGCCATCTCTTTTCTTTGGAAAGCATGATAGTTGAGGGAGTAGGGTACAGTGACCAAATCTATGTTAGATGTCCTCCCTCCAAACAACTCTTCAGGGAGAAGGGTTTCTGTTCTCACACCATGCTGTGGGCTCCCCCCACCCCCACCGTCCAAACCACCACTATTAGTTTCTGCCACTATCAACTTTTTATCCACACGTGGTCCTGGCAGTAAGTTAATTCTTGGGACTTGTCTACCAGCTCCCTTGGGGCTCGCAGCTACCTAGTGTCTACCTGGATCTACCAAGGTCCACTTTCCTCAAACTCCTTGCCTCTCTCCTATAAATTTTACTTCCTGTTGGCCCTTTGAAAAAACAACTGAACAAAATGTCATGCTCTGAATCCTGGTGCCCACTACTGATTTATTCTCCTTTCACCTTGCTTTTTTCAAAGGTTAGTGGGACAAAGGCCAGACTGCTAAAAGAATAAACAATCTTCCTTTCCCTGTTCCTCCCCTCACCCCATCCTGTCTCATTCTCAGGACTGAATCCAAAACCTGCAGTCTTTTATACAGTGGGAAGGACCATTCACCCATCAGCTGAACAGAAGTTTTGCCCCTTCATTCTCCTCCCAAGTTCTCCTAATCTCTCCAAAATGAGACCAGGTTTCCTTAGAACAGAAAGCCCAAGTACTGGAGTGGCCCACCTGCCTGTTAGATTATCAGTGGCCTGGCTGACCAAGGCCTGGAGGGCTGGAGTCCAAAGCACCTGGAAGGGGAGGGGGGCCTGAAACTACCTCATGTTCCTAAGGGCCTGGCTGCCCCCCTCTGCAGATACAGCCTGGACCTCCTATTCTTTCACTACCTACCCTACCGAGTTCTGGGAAGTATTCCTTACCCTCTTGGCTTTGGCCAGTGGCTACACCATGTCTATCTTAGAACTCTTTCAGGTGCTTTTCCTTTCTCTGCCTTACTATAGCAATTGTCCCTGCCCATACCCAGGTACCTCCCACAGCCAATGCAGCAGACAGACCACGTTAGCTGGGTGCCTCCCTGGGTGGACTTGAGGGGCCTACAGCATTTTGTTTTGCCTGTTTAGTCAAAGGCCGTTTGCTCTCTTCCAACCCGGCCTAGCAAATTTACCTAGTGGGCCACCACATTGTGTGCATACCAGGTAGTCTGTGTCGGATTATAATTTTTTCTTTCCAGTGAAATGTTACGGGTACCAGCAGAGTGATGACTTTGTCCCTTGATGGGTCTAAAACTCAGAGCATTACTCCTTAATGCCATTTCCCCAGCTGCTCTGAGAAAGAAAAAAGAGACACGTTCCTCAGGAAAAGCTCCAACCAGAATGTTTTTCACATGTTGATGGGAAGATTTTTGTGTGTGTATCTGTTTATTTCTAAGTTCACAATATTTTTGTTTCCCTGAATTTTTTATTTAACCAACTAGATCACATTCTTTGGCTACAGGTCAGACTCCGAGCTGCTTTCCTCAAGATAGGGGAGGAGACACATATCAGAGTCCCCTTCTCCAAGACTGCTCCTTTATGCAGTATCTTTCTTTGCTTAGACCTCCATCTGTCAGATTATTATTATTTTTTGAAATTGCTTTTCTCTTAAATTAAGCATTTTCCTGGTTGTGTTGGGTATCAAAGGAAATTGTTCTCTGACAAGACAAGAACACGTCTCTCCAATAATGCAGCATTAAACAGAGCAAGTTGTTAATTTGTGGAGTGGGGGAAAGGTTTTGCAAGTTGCCATTGTACAAATCCATTTTTACAAATGTTTGCAGCAGATTCCACAGAACAAAGAGCCCATTCTTTGCCAAGAGCCCTGCAGAATCTCTGAGCCAAGTGGCCGTGTGTTCCAAGCCGGAGCCTGACCTGTGGACAGCCTTTAATGTCTTCTGCACCCAGTCCTTTTATGACGTGGGCTTTTTTTAAACAGGGTAAAGTGAATGTGTTGCATTGCGAACTCAGGTATTATGAGGAGAAGGTAGGAGTGTAGCTAGCAGCGTGGAGACATTAGGTCAGCCACTAGATGTATTTGTGAATTTGGTTTGAGGGACACACAGAAAGGTTGGAGGGGGAGGTTTGGTGTGTTTGTTTTTTGCCTTTCTTCCCATAATGTTTGGTTAACAGGTAGCCTTTTTGCTAGTGGAAGAAGAAAAAAGTTATGCATGTTGTCTCTAATTCCCCTCTCTTCTGTCCTCTCTCTGATCCCCTGCTACCAACAGTGCTCACTTTGAGTGAGAGTTTTTCCACCATAAAAATATAACCCTGAAAGCTGTGTGGTAAAGGAGAATCCTACCTCCTTGCACTGCATTGAAACACACAGGCTTTTCCTTTCCTTTCCCTTTAAATGTTTTCTTGACCCAAGACGAAAGTTTGGAATCTTGGAACTTCACCTACAACTTATGCTCTCTGGCTCCTTTGTAGAATTTTGGAGTCTTTCACAAGGTTCGGTGGCCTTGCCCTTAGTCTGAAGAAACTCCCCAGAACCTGTCTCAAAGCACTCCACCTGGCTCAGAGGACACCCAGCCCCATGCCTAACACATAATTGAGGTGGGAGAACCTCCAGCGATAGAAGGCAGCATGTGGGAACCTCCTTGTGTTGTTCCCCAGAAGCAGAGGATGGACAGAGGGAATCCAAGGGTCTCCACAGCGTTGCTGACAGTCACCCGCTCCACATTGACCTGCCTCTCCCCTGCCACCCCTTTTCAGGGATGTGAGTACCTGCCATGGCCAATATGTTACCAGGTCCTTAAAACCCTGGGCTCTCTGAGCTGCCTTGCTCTGCTCCCCATTTCCTACCTTTGTTTGTTCTTGATTTCCTGGAGGAATGGGACAGATGGAGACAGATGGACAAACCCAGCATGGGCAACATCTAAGCCATGCCCAAAGTTGGCCAAAGCAGGGGGACCCTGGCCTCCCAGGAGGGCAGGAAGTTGAGCAGTGGTTCCAAGTCTTTAGCTCTGGGCCCCTGGTCTATGTCTTTTTCCTTGTTGCTTTTTAAAATTTTGCAATTATTTTCAGAAATCCAGTCTTTTAGATTCAGCTCTTTTATTAAACTTTAAATTTTTCTTTGATTTTTTTTAAACAAACAAATAAACTAAACAAAAACACCACTGCTCTTACTTTCCCCAGTTTGATCCATGAGAATCCCCTACATTCCCCTCTGCCTTTACAGTTGATCATTCCTCCATTTTTTCTCAGCTCGAAGCATCTATGGCCAGTGTCTGTGAAAGGATGTTTTATCTGTGTCTCAGGATGAGAAACGGCAATCATTCCACCAGGTGCTGGAAACTGATTAGCCTCGAGGCAAGGGTTTCTAGGGCCACAGCTCAGGGATGTGTATTTAATTACAGGGTCCCCAGAAACCCCTCTCTTGGCTGCCACAAACAGCAGCTTCTTTTCTGGGCTTGAGAACCGGACCTGGACTGTTCCTCAGAGGCAGGAGCCCCAGAGAACATGCGGAGTCAGGGAGCACGCTGGGGCTCCCTTCTTGGCTAGACCTGGGCTACCTTGAAACTTGAAGACATCTGGCTATCCTGCGACATGAGCCACAGTGGCCCTGCCTCTACCAGCTCATAAAATGCCTGGTCGCTCTGCCCACTCCAGTGCCCGTCTGGCCTCCCTCTTCTGGGCCTGCAGCCCTAAACGGAGCACAGCCTGCTCAGGAGTCCGTTGCGGGCTTGAGGGGAAGATGTGCGTTAGGCCAGAGCTTGCTCCACGCCCAAGAAAAAAGTCGTGTTACTGGTGGAGGCTAGTCTTCCAAATCCTGGAGCCAGCCCTGCCATCCAAAGGATCATTTTTGCCCTTTGGTGACCACTTTTGTTTTTCTTTGTCTGAAATGTCTTACAATAGGTAATAATGTTGTTGACTCAAATTTCCATGAAAAAATAAACTACCTCTTGAGTGACATCCTGATCGATTCCTCTCTGAGGAATCCTGTGGGAAAAGAAAACTTTAGCTCCTGCTCTGTTTACATGTTTCTGTCGGGAAAGAAACTCTGCCTGCCCTGGGGTGTTGGTGTTTTTGTCTGTGTTGCCATCCCAGGCTTGCGATAGGGCCTCGTGGCTGCATTGTGATGTCTGGGCCATGTCTGGGGAGTCCCAGCCACCTGCCCAGCCATGGACTAACCACCCCCTTGAAGAGGCCACCATTTCTTTCCTGTGAGCCAAGGCACAGGGAGCACCACCTCTCACAACCCCACCTTCAGGGGCTGCGGTGGCACATGCATCAGTGAGCATATCCTTGGGCTACCTACGCTAGGCCCGCTTGCACCCACAGTCCAGTGTAGGAATCGCGTAAATGGGATGTCTCTGAGCCCTTGTCCCCAAAGGGCCAGCCAAGGGCTGCCCGCCAGCCTGGCTCCATCAACCCTGCATGACCAAATGATAGTTGGTGGGCTCTGCAGGCTGCCCAGGCCCTCGGCTACCTCGCACCCTGCCAGCCGGCAAGGGATGAGCCCTTTGCTGTGAATTGACTACCTGTGGAAATGTGACCAAGTAGTGTGAAATGCATGTTTAGCGAATGTTAGGTACTGTATTTGAACCAATAAATGTGAATCCTTCTGCACATGTCCTCTGTCTGTGAAGCTTGTCTGGGGTTCTAGGGAGGGACAATGAGGTGTCCTAAGGAGCTGGCTGGTATCTCCAGACCTGTTGGTCCTGCTTGTAGCTAACACCCACTCCGT